AAAAAAAAAAAAACAACCCACTGCCTATCACAGATGCATCCAGCTGAAAGCAGTGAGGCGTGACTTCATGGACGGACACACACCGTACAACAAGGACAGATCTGGACGGCGCCTGTTAAGAAAGTAAATCCCAAATCACTCGCAGGGGCACGTAAATCTGAACGTGATGGCCCTGATTCACAATCAGCCCGAGGCAGACGGCTCTCAGCCTGTGAGCAAAGTACAAATCCACCAAACTGTGTGGCCACATCCTCCCCCACCCCTTCCTTCCCACTAATCCTTTTTCAATCATGCACTTTTTGGATTATGCCTCTATGTAATTCGTCTCAGGTATTGTTTTATAACTTAATATGATATTTCAATGTGGGCGAGTTGGGTTATGGGTTTAGGACACCGTGCAGGATTGGATAAGCGGCGGAGGTCTGCAGGCGGCAGATTGGAGCGGAGGGTTAGTGCCAGGCTGAAAGAAGCGTGATAAACCTTTGACACAAAGTCCAAATGAAGCAGGTGCATAAAGGTGCTGAGACTGACCTGATTCAGTCCTTCGAAGGCATCCCATATTGCAATGTGAACCCTGTATTTGTCCTGAGTCTCACTAAGTGTCTCACCTCCCGGGAGAAGTTAGAATGCTTTGCAATTGTCAGGCAGTTTATGGAAGAAGTAAAGATAGCAACTCTGAAGCCACCATCTTGATTCACCTTGTCCATATCATGCAAGCAGGAAATCAAAAGCTTACAAAGTCAAAGAAGTCTGTGCAAAGAAAACACATCCCTGTCATTTGCCTCCACGTCTAAAAAAAAAAAAAAGGTGACCTCAAGTCAAGTCAGACTTTTTTTATGTAGCTCAATATCACAAATCACAATTTGGTAAGGGAGCTTTACAATCTGTACAACATTAAACACCCTCTGTCCCTAGAGCTTCGATTCAGAAGAAAAACTCTCTCTTTTAACAGAGAGAAAATGGAAGAAACCTCAGGAAAAGGTCACTAAATCTACACAAGACTGAAGGGGGAAAAAAACTCTTTAATGTTCTTACTTAAACAGTAATTATATTTTGCAGTTTTATTTTTACCGACCATCATTATTGCATATAAGATGTTCATTCCAGCTGATGTATTTTAGAGCTGGAATGATTTGTCAACTATTAAATTTATGGCCAATTACTTTGACAATCAATTCATTATTTAAATTTTTTAAGGAAGAAAATAACTGATTTCAGCTTCTCAAATGTGAATATTTTCTCTGGAAAATAGTGATAAACATTTCATCTTTTCATAAAGTAATGGATTAATCAAGAAAATGGTTGACAGACTGATCGATAATAGAAAATAATTGTTAGTTGCAGTCCTACTGTGTTTTCCCAAGTCAGCGGTCACCAGTGATAGAATATAACTAGATACATTTACTCAAGTACTTTACTTGAGTACAATTTTGAGGTTCTTTACATGAGTATTTCCATTCTATGTTACTTTATACTTCGACATTTCAAGTGTGAATATCATAAGTTTTACTCAACTATGTTTATTTGCACCCACTACATACTGTTTTTCTTCTTGTTCCTACAGTGTGATGTTTGATCTTCACTGAGCAGAATGATGTATGTGCAGAGTTTTAACATTCATCTGCTGAAAGTGGAACATTTCTCTGTGCTCACTGAAAATCTGATTCTAAGGGACAGGGCCTCTGAGCGTGATTTGTGACATCACAAATAGTTTGCAAGTCAACCCTGGTCCAGTATGCAACTTATACAGTATGATGTAGAAACTTGAATCCACCAGTGCACATACACTAAGAATGGACTTTACAGTGAAGTAGGAGACATCTTGTGTACAGCAGAAGAAAGGAGTAAATGCTTTTTAAAGGATTTTAATATGGAAAGTATACTTTTTTTTGCAGAAAAAAAAAACATCAGACACATTATTGTTCCAAGCAGACTATTTGTATATATGTCTTAATACATGTCTAGACGTGATCTTTAAGTTACTAGTTATTTTGTAGATTAAGATTTGACATACAACATTTAGTAGATTTAACTACCTTATAACATATAAATTAGTTCAAATTAGTTTCAACTTGACCAGCTGTAATGTTAAACTGCTTTTATCCATCAGGAGCACCAAATGGATAAGATATTCTTTCACTAATTGTGTATATCATGATACTGATATATATATATATATCACAATGTAGTGAAGCTTTCACTGAGATTACACTAAGAAACCATATAAAGATACAATAACCAGATCAGAGTCTCACTGTCTGATCTGATTTCTTTCAATGGTCTAATACAACCAGACATATTATATTACAGTATATTATTTATTTGTGTAAATACTTCTTCTCATAGTAAATATTATAATATTGCTCATGTGTATATATATCAGTAATAATACTCTATAATACTTTAAGTACAGATTCCACTTTCGTACTCACATTTTGTAACAGAGTAGAGTAATACAGTATTTCTACATTGTTTTAATTATACTTTTACTCTAGTAAAGCATACTTCTTCCACTACTGTCTGTTCTGCAGATTTGCCTTTGCATTTGTCTGTCTCAGCCCTGGTGCACTCTCAGATTTAGGTTGATGACACAGCTGTATTTTACCACATAAAAGTGTATCGAGCACAAGCTTAAATACAATATTTCTTTATGAATAACCGGCCACCTTCCCTCCCCCCCCACCAACAAACACACTCCTCCGGATGAAGGCAACATTACCCTCCATTGAACAGGCGTAAAAATCCAATACCTCTGTGCCTGGCGTCCGCCAGACAGGGATGTGCAAAGGCAGCTTTACCCATCAATTTTCTAATAACCATCATGCAATATGACAAGAATGGAAAAAAAGAGAAACTTAACAACACACAACAAGGGTGGAGGTGGGCTATCGGAACATAGGGCCACGTGATTATTGGTCTCTCAAGTAAAGAGCCATCTATTGAACCCACTGATGGATTTGAAGACACGTGTCTAGGTGTGTGTGTGTGTGTGTGTGTGTGTCTGTGAATAATAATAATCCTCCACATTCAAACACAATCTCCTCACTGACCTCTAGCACATCTAGTGTGACACAGTCCGACTATAACACGTTAATATACACAGGATACCTACTGGTGAAGCCTTTAAATGGTGCCAGGCTTCATTTACAAAGTCCCTGTGCATGGGCTTAGTGTTTTTAAGGCCTTGAAGGAAAGACAGAAAACTTAAGCTTAACAGTCTGCAGGCGGGCTTCAGAAATGTATTGTGAGTGAACATATTATACGGTGTCATTGTATTGAGTCAATAAGTGGGAATTAAATGTGCTCTTTGGTATCTTTCCACTGTGCACTCCTCTTTCTTGTAGCTGAGTGAAATAGAAAAAGAGGTTCATGTCAGGCAAGTTGCCCTTGGGCTCACAGAGGAGAGAGAAGGAGAGCGGCAGCTGTGTGAAGAGTTGTCTCTACAGCTGAGATAGTCGGCACTATATCCTTAACCTTTCCACTCTGTCACAAATAATGTTAAAGATGAGCTAACTAAGATCTGAACTGGCCCATAAACCATAATGACCATATCCCTGTACTTTATATCTGTGGGGTTTATTGATCAATACCAATGAATCATTAAAAAACTTAGTTTGGCTTGATATTGACATTTCTAGCTTTCAAAACTTACTAACTGGCTCATTTTGCTGCCAAAGCCTTAACTGTAACTGCTCAAAATCAGGGATAAATGAGACAACTGGCATATTTTCTATTTTAAAAAAAGCCAGTTGCAAAGACTATCAGCTACATTGCCTCTTCACAGCATGTTTCTGTTGGATTCCTCCTCTGATTTCTGGCTTAAACCCTCCATTGTGGTAATGGTTAGTCCATTACAGGCTACAGTACACTGAAATCTGCCAGTGTTCCAGCTCCTTTGTTGCAGATGGACATTGATAAAAGTCATCAATTTCTTCATGTAACTTTTAAAAGCGCAGTTATAAACCTTGCTATATTATTACCTTTGAATAATGATTCTAAATGACCATGATGGAGGAGGGTGGCAGCCTATATCTGGCAGCAGCTGCTCAAAATGTACCATTAACCCTCTCTGCTTTCTGTGTCTCAGGGAGGTGGTTTTACACAATCTGGAAGTCATTTTACCGCCACTTCTTTTCTATTGGTTTGTGCAATAAAGCAATTTCCCTTCATGCAATAAAGCAATCCTGAATTGTTCCCACAAATTCCTGCAGCTGTTGATCACATTTGGCTTGAATCTCAGTGACATGTCACAGTAAAGTGTGTCAGTGGTCAACATTAAAGAAAGAAACTAATAAATCCATAACCCTACAACTGATAAAATAGGCTATTTGCAGCAGTCCAACGTGTGTTTCTGTTCATGGCTGCGCTCAGTTGCGCTCACAGGCTTCAGCAGAGAAATAAACTTGAGGTGAAAGTCAGCTGTCAAAAGCTCACCGCCTCATTGTGTCTGAGCAACGAGTCTGGTCACTCTGCTGTCTCCGAGGCTCTTTCTAAGCAGCCACTTGGATTCTTATTTTTATCAGGCGCTTTATTTTAATCAACTTTTTTTATTTTTTTTTTATCGTTACATTTGGCTTGGAGGATTTCCTCCTGTAGTCGCCACCTGTGTGTCCGGCTCTAAGTGACGTTGCGCTGGTGTACCGGGAGCTCTCCTCCATTCCCCGGGAGCGGCGGAGACAAGCTGGTCGCTTCTACACGGCGACTCTCCCGTTCCTGCGCCGGGCTAAGATGTCCCGTTTTAAAGCGGATTTATTTGGCTGCAACAGGCGACATGACTGGTTGTCCTCGACGGTATGAAGCATTGAAGACCAAGGTGAGAGCCTCAGACTGCCAATTTCTTTAGATTTCATTCATCTCCAAGCGAATGCCCGGGCGCGTAAACTTTTGAAGCTTCGCTACGACGCGCACCGAGTGGGTGGCCAAAATTGTGCGCCGTGATTAGAGAAAGTAAGCCGACTATTTTGAGAACATGTGCTATTTTTCCAGCTTATCTTTGCCTGCTTTCATTCACTACCTTGCCTTTTCCATGCTTTGAAATGTTCTCATCAACAGAGTCGACACGTCTGGTGCGATAACCAAAAAGAAACCACGAGTAGCTTGAATGTTGTGCTCTGTAGACACTGTAAGGGAAAGCGCTGTCTCGTTTCTTAGACTAAACTGCTTTTGTTCGTACAATTCTGTGCTTAACTCACCTGTATGTGTGAGACTATAAAGGACACACGCACTGGCTGTGGGCGCACAGAACCGAGGAGACATGAGCACTGAATTTCCACATCGAAGTCTGTTGAAACCGAGCAGTCATGCTCTGTGCAGATAATAACACACATGATCCCTGACATCCATTAAAAAATCTCTCACGCTCGAAAACCATTCATATTTTACCTTCATCTCCTTTTTTCAAGCCACCTTTGTCTGGGAAAAAGAAGAGTTTGCGCGCACATTTTCTATAAGGTCTGGCTTTCTTTCTTCCTTTATTTTTCTTTCTTTTTTTCTTATTCCATTAAATGTTACAAGTACCAACACAGGTTAGAGTGATAGAGTGATATGTGCGGGGTTGCTCAGGGCCTGTCTGGGCCTATAGAGGCTGCATACAGACTGTGAGCATCGGCACATTCAGATGTGTAGTGACTTGCCAGCCTGCTGCGGGGTTAACCTGTGCGGCAAGTGTCATGACCCGACTGCTTCTAACACCTCCCTCTCTCCCTCTTCTCACCCTTTGTGCTAATCAATTAAGGTGCGAGAAGGCTGCGCTCTCCCCGGGCTTGATAAAATGTACTATGCGCTCGTTAGCAGTTTCATTGTAGGGTACAGATGAAGCAGAGATGATTTTAAGCCACGTCGCCTCAAGTCAGTCATCCAATTTATCCTGAAAAAACACGAATTTCAATTTCAATGTTAAAATAAAATAAGTGCGAGACTCCCTTCTCCCATATTTACTTATTTATTGCCCATTATCCGCGGTCAGTTGAACCCCTTTTAAACGGCACCTTAACCTTCGAGCTGGAGTGGCGCCTTCTTCCTATTAGAAGTAATAGGAGTAATTTACACCTATTTGGAGTTAAAACGACTTATTGAACGAGGCAAGGATAGTAAGACTACCCCTAAACCCAGTGCACGCTCCTTTTTTATTTACACAATAGAGTTAAATCACTTTTTGGAACAATTACGCACCATTCTGAATTGATACAAATATTTTAAGTACTCTATCAGCTTCACTTAACGATAAGCAATTCATGGAATTAGGCATTACAATATCGCATTTCATTTTTGGGCATCTGTGTGAACAGAAACACGAATGCATTAACACTTTTACTCAATTATCTTTTTTTTACTCATTGTTAGTTAGCTGTCCAGTAATAAAGTGAGACTCTGATATTCCCTTCCTCTATTTTACCCGGATGCAAGCATTCCTTTGAGACCATTAACGCCCGCATTTGTTGGATAATTTAACGCGATCAGGCGACTCGGGTGAACTCCAGCAGATGAGGTTCAACTACAGGCGATCCTACTCCCTCCTGAGTTTCTAACGGGTCCCGAAAGAGGATGCTGTGTGTGCGTGTGTGTGTGGG